AATCCAGAGCTTAGAGGGAGGCTGGCTTGTTCTAGAGGAACAGAGCCATCTTTTAAATAGGAAAACTGAGTGGACCTTGGGCTGTCCAGGGAGGGTTGGGGATATAGCTCAGTTGGCCTGCCTCATTTGCAGGAAGCCCTGAGTTCGTTCCAGGCACCTGTATAAAGTCAGGTACAGTGGTGTGCACCTGTAGTCCCAGCACTCAGAAGGCAGGGACAGGAAGAGCAAGAGCTCAAGGGTATCCTTGGCTACATAGCAAAGCTCAGCACCAGGCTGAGCATGAGCAACTTGTCTAAAACCAAACAAAATGAAATCACCCCGGGGGAGCGATGGTGAAAATGTGGCCAGCATGCCTCCTGCCCTCCAGCTCCCCAGTACTGTGGTTGTTGCCTAAATTAGAATAGATGGAAACTAAGCCTTGTCTGGCTTGCCTTACTAGGCCCTAGGGGTCGCTGGGTACCCCATCTGAAACAGAAGATCCTCCACATATGTCCAACGTCACTCACCCACTCAGTCTCTGCTTAGCCCACCTTCCTCCAGGCTCTCTCCCATTCCTCCAGCATGCACAAAGGGAGAGGCGCTCTCCACTTCCTCCCACTTGCCATCTGCACTTCTCTTCCCCCTCAAGATCCGCATCAAACACCGCCACCGCCTTCTCCTCTCCTAGGAAACTTTCCAGGTCTCCCCAGCCCATAGAAAACATTCCTTACACGGCGGCCTTCCCCTCTGTCATCTGGACTAGTCATGGACTTCCTGGTGACTGAGCTGAGGTTTCTCAAATGCCCTGCTGCTGCCACACTTGTTTACATACACGTGTGTCTTGTTTTCCTGGCCTTGTAGACTCTTCTGGGAAGAGCTGCCAAGCCCGATGAATTCCAATGTCCTCACAGTACAGGGAACCAGCATAAACCAGGGAACTGGCACACAGTTGGTACTCCATAAACCAGGGAACTGGCACACAGTAGGTGCCGGTTTCTCAGTTCACTTCCGGATGTAGACAAGCCACCTTCTCGTTGGCCTCCCCCTGACCTGGCCTCTCCCACACCCCGCATCTCTCCTCCCAGCCTGGCTGTGGCTTGCTTATCTGCACAGGCAGCTGTAGACCTATGTCTTCAAAGGGTACTGGACAGGGCTCTCTAGATGGTTTACAAAGCACCACAGGTCTGGAAAAGTTAAACGTCTTGTTTTTGTGGCAAACCAGGGATCAGAGTGCTGATTTCTTCAGACTAACAGAGGAACCACTAGGGCGGAGGTGGAGGTGACGCACAGCAGAAACCAATGCTGGGGCTCAGCTTGCTGGGCACCAGCTCCCAGCCAAGCCACATTACAGAGACCGGCAGAGACTCCGGTGACTTTTCTTTCTCTTTCCCAGACAGGATCTTACACTGTAGCCCAGGCTAGACTGGAACTCACTCTGTAGCACAAGCTCACAAGCTAGACTTGAACTCCCAGGCTCACCCTACCTCAGTAACCACCAGCCCCACCCTGAGTGCTGGGATTACAAGTGTGAGCCACCAAAAACCTGCTTTCAAGTTACTTTGGCTCTTCAGGGAGATGAGAGTCAGGTAGGGTGGAGGAGGACATGTTTTAAAGGTGCTCTATGTGGGGCCTGGGCTGGACACTGAAGGACAGAATGGTCTTCCTGTCTGCCTCTGCAAGGTCAGAAGGCCGGAGCAACCGCTGTCTGCCTGAGCGGCTGAGGCCCAGGTGAGCAGGAGTCAACAGAGGCCTGACTCAGACGTGTAAGCCACACCTTTCCACACGGCCTCACCAACTCTAATAGGCCAATCATACTCCCAGATTACCTGAGAGGTTTTTTTCTTGTTTTTTTTGTTTGTTTGTTTGTTTGTTTGTTGTTTTTTTGTTTTGTTTTGTTTTGTTTTGTTTTTTTACAGGAAATACTCACAGAATTCTCAAATCCAAAACCCTGGTCCAACAAAGACATTTACTCTTCTCTTGGTCCCTGGCTCATGTGCCAATCAAACAAGGAAGCCGTTTTGAGCTGCCTCTTAACAATGCTCTTCATGCTTTGCAAGATGAAGTTCAGCCCCAGTCCCTCATGTAACTGACAGCTGACTCCACACTGCTGTGGCCACTTTAGCCTTGTAGAAGACAGACTTGCCTTAGGGCAGGAGGAGAACTTCTCTTCATGTGGAAAGCCTGTGAGACACAAAGCCCACATATGACAGGACTGAGGCAAGAGGCTGCCTCAGGGTAGAAACCTCGAGCTAACTGCTGGCCTGAGTGCAGCTGGCCAGAGAAAGCTGGCAGTCCTGAGGGGTGGGTGGCCCCAGTGGCTATTGACCAGGGCTACCTAAGTCTCCCTGAGATCTTCATCTTACAGAAGAGGAGGCAGCTCCCATGGTAACAGGACTAGCCTAATTCCCTAGTTCCCACAGCAATGGCCAGAGCCAGCTAGTGACCAGGACACAGGAAGTGTGGAGGAAAAACAACCATTTCCTGTGAAATTTGTGGGCCAGAGAAGGGGAAGTTGGTATATGAGATTTGAGGATAACATAGCTTCCTAACAGCTGGGGAAGAGAGGCTCTGGAACCTGGGCTCAGGAAAGAAACGACTCAGGAGTCTCAGAAATGTGATTCCAGCCTCTAGACTGCGAAGAGGGAGAGAGACAGAGAAGGCAGACACATGAACCTACCCTGAGGTGACATGTGACACTCAGAGGAGGCAGAGGGTTGGTTTAGTTTTTTGTGTTTTTCCTATTGTTGGTTGTTGTTCTCAGTTGTTCACTGTTGGGGCCTTGTGCGTGCTAGGGACACACTACCACCGATCTTTATCTCCAGCCCTGTTGTGTTTTTAACAGATGTCTAAACCCTTTTTAATGAGTTCAAGCCCTCTGGGCCAAAAATGCTCTACCCTAGAGCACTGCACACATCTGCAGAGGAGGGGCCTGGTGGCCTACTGGCCTTTGTATCTGAGAGGCAGCCCAGAGCTGAAGGTGTTCTGGAGCCCTGTGGGAACTCGGGACATATGATGCCAAAGCAGGTGGAGAGTTGCAATGGTCAGATCTTGTCTTAGGTCAGGGAAGGGAAATGGGGGAGCCAACAGGGCATGTGGACTCTGTGTTCTCAAAGCAAGCTGGCCAAAGCGTGAGGCCCCTAAAGGGCGCTCTTCAGCACTGCACAAATTGCAGGGCTCTCGGGGAACCCTGTGTGGCGGTGACTCAGGTGACGCTGTGCTCATGACATGCAGACCTGAAATGGTCCACAGAGCAAGGCTGCCTGGAGTTTAACAAGTCAGCGTTTAAGATGGCCGGTGCATGCCTGCATTGCAGCATGAGATGGCTCATGAGGTAAAGGCACCTGCTACCAAGCCTGAGTTCAGTCCCTGGGACCCACGTGGTAGGGAGAGAGGACCAACTCTTGCAGGTTGTCCTCTGACCTACACACGTGTCCTGCAGTCGACTCTTTCAGTCCCATACATATGCACAAATAAGTAAATAAAATATAATTTAAAAAAATTAGCCAACATGACCGTTCAATTAGAAATCAAGGCAATCTTTTTTGATGTGCCCACAGACCAACCTGATAAAAGCAAATACTCAACTGAGAACTTTTTCAGGTGACTCCAGGCTGTGTCACATTGACAGTTAATGCTGACTAAGGCAGGGCCAAATGAGAGGCTGGAGACCTGGATCCTGAATGTGGAAAAGGTTCAGAAATGCTGTAACCCTTTTTGCTCTCTCTTTATATGCACACAAGCAGAATCTGAAATAAGGGAAGTATGATGGTACATGCCTCAGCGGTCAGGAGGCTGAAGTGGGAGGAGCAGGGCCAGCCTGGTCTGCATAGTGAATGAGTTTGAGGAGTTTGTACTACACAGAGTTTGAGTTCCAGGCCAGCCTGGACCACAGGATGGCATTCTTACTCTCCAAAAGCTAAACAAGCAAAATTCTGGAACAATATAGAGACATCTATCCTGCCTAATAGAATAATAGACATTTAAGTGACAGCAAATGGAAATAAATGAAGTATCAAGTGGAATCAGGACTCTCCTCACTCTACAGTTCTGAGTTCCATGAGTGGCTGGTCTCAGCAAAAAGGCAAGCTTCCCACATCTCTTCATTGCCTATGATGATGCCCCAACTAAAACTCCTTAAAAGGCCACTGCTTGAGGGCAAAAGTCACTTGGGGAACAATGCAAGTGGAAGGATTGAGGGCAAGAGGAACTCTGACCCCATCTGTGCTTCAAGACTTCTTGGGCCAATTCCAGAGTGGGCAGAAGAGTGACTCCATTTGTGCAATGGGTACTGCTGATCTCATTGCATTCTGTAAGGGAAGTTGTGCCACTAAATCTGACGGAAAATCCAATTCTGCTTGTGACACCTTGCCTCCAATAGACAATATATCAGCGGTCTCAAATACCACTTCAAATGTCCTGAGTGATCAATTGGTTAAGGAAGAGCCAATCTGAGCTCCCATCAGGACAACTGATAAGAAAGAAAATGGGATTGGGAGGGAGAAGGAAAAAAGAGGGAGGAGGGAGGAGAGATGGAGAGGCAGAGGCGGAGGAAGTAAGAAAGGAGGAAGAGAGCATTTCCTACCATGACCCAGCCCCCTCAAAAGCTACCATGAATACTTAACGCTTTCTACTTGCAGCTTGCAGGAGCCATTGACATAAACCAAGGATGTCCCCCAAGACATTACATGAGAGAGAGGTGCCTGCAGCCCCTGCTCAAATGTCAAAGCTGTAAACACAGCAAGTTGCCATGCTACCAGCCCGCCAGGTTAACACCAGCAGCAGGAGGAGCTTGAGCTCAGCCTTCACCTCCTTTCCTGGCCAGCACAGGGCAGTGGATGGGAAGGGAGCCTCTTGGCTGTGAAGTCACAAAAGCTAGAGAATCAGCAGCATTCAGATGGGATGCTGAGCTCTGGGAGCTTCTTAGCCCTACAGGAATCATTCTGTATGAGGCACAGGCTGCTCCCTTGGAGGAAGGTATCCCCCAGGCTCAGACCCACCCCAGCTTCGGTGCTTTGACTTACCGCAGGCAAGCAGGAACCTCCCGATCCGTTTCCAGGGTCAGTACCCTCTATGTCTGCATTTCCTCGCCTAAAAATGACCTGGAAGAAGGGAAGGAAGAATGTAAGGGGGCAGTTATTTTTTTTTCTATAGAATACAAGCTGCAAGAAAGGATGCATCAAGCATAATCTACAACCCCTAACTGAAGAGTTTCATAATGGGTCACTGTACTTGGAAATGGAAAGACGGGGTTGCATACACAGATCCTGTAACCACAAAGGATGCTACAAGACAAAAGCCAGGGCACAGAGAAAGCCTGCCATGGGACCTTGCCCTAACTGCTCTACTTCATTTTCTAAGCCACCTTTTAGTGTAGACAAAAGGTAGTCATCTGGTTAGCATTTAGTCCAGGTGGGAGGCACAGGCCTCCTAAACTTACTTGGCCTGAGGATTAGGTGCCCCTGTCTTCTCTGGTGGTTTCCTCCTGCCTGTTGGGTTTGCTCACATCCTGCACAGGCCATCTGTCCACACCTTTGAATGCTCTTGCCCGTGCTCATTTCTGTTGAGACTATCCTATTCATCCTCCAAGATGCTTTGTGACCAACAAGCTGCCCCTACCCCTTCCTCCTCCAAGAAGTCCCCTGCTTGGTCCCCACTATGTGCATTCCATACCCAATCCTGGTGTGCAGACAGCAGCAAGAAGCTGGTCCTACCTACCTCACTCTGGGCAGTAGAAGAGCACGTGGATCTGGGCTGCAGCGCAACAGCTGCACACTATGCGGGGCACTAACAAGCCTGAGCCTACAGCTGTTGGTAGCTATGCCAGCACCTATTTATAACCCTCTCTGCAGTCCTCCTCCATGATCCCGGCTGGCTCAGTGCTGGCGCATTGTCTCAAGACGCAGCCAATAGCAAATTGGAGAGAAGTCTTTACGGACAGTTGCCCTTCCCAGTTTAAAATCTGGGGTTGTGAGCTGGGTGTAGTGGCACACACCTTTAATCCCAGCACTTGGAAGGAAGAGGTGCGTGGATCTTTGTGAGTTCGAGACCATCCTGTTCAATATAATGAGTTACAGGACAGCCAGGGCTACATAGTAAGATCCTGTCTCAACCAACCAACCAAGCACAAAGTAAAATCTGGGTTTGTATCAGAGACCAAGAAAACAACGGTTGAAATTCTGTCCCCAAGGCTCTGGAGATGTGTTCTGATAGGGAAAGATCCTGAGGCCAAGGCCAGCACACCCTACAGTACACTATCTTTCCTTAAGGAAGGCTAGAGCTTGGTGAATGCCTGAAATCCCAGCAGTCAGGAGGCTGAGACAGGGGAGTTGCAAACTAAGGCCAACCAATACTACATGATAAGGCCCTGCCTCAAAAAAAAAAAAAAAAAAAAAAAAAAAATGTCTGAGCCTCTTATTTTACAACATAAACTCCAGGCACGCTGAGAACTTCATGATCATGTCATCAGAAGGCCCTTCCAACTTGGCATTCCATGGGCTCCGTGACTCATGCTCTCTCTTCCTCCTCCAACAGAGAGGTCAGAATCATCCAAAGCCACCCCAGTTCCCTTCCTCTGAGCACCTCAAGCCCCACCCAGAGTCCAAAGGAAAAGAACAAATCCCGAGCTGCCAGCTAATGTCACAGCAGCCTGAGTGCCTGCTCAGTCCAGCAGGTGGCTGGGGGGAGAGGGGGGAGGGAGGGCTGCCGTTGCTATGGATACAAAAAATGCTCCTCTCATTCACACCATCTGTCTGAGCCAGGATAGAAGACAAACTGTTGGTTGTCTCCACTCCCCTGGCCTACCTTTCTCGGGGATTACAACTGGATGCCAAATCTAAATGCCGCTCTGAAATCAGGACATATAAGGTCTCTTCACCCGCATCTGAAGGGTTTCATAATGGGTAACGCTGGAGAGCAATGACGAATGAGACTTGGAGGCAATCTAAGCCGTATTGTACAGCCACCACAATTAGAAACAAAAAAACAAAAAAAAAAGCTGCTTCTTTCTGGCTGAAGATGAAGTTTCAGCAATAAACAGACATCTGCTAGGAGCTCTTGAAGAGAGGCAGCATAAACACCCCAGGGAGCAATCATAAACAGGGAGACCTCTCCAGGATGCTACTGCTTGCCAGGGAAGAAGAGACGGAAGTGAGGAGGGTGAAGGGCAGAGAAGGATGGGGTGCTGAGAGGCTGGGTGGGATGGAGAGTGTGCCGCCACAGAGCAGGGGTTGAGGGGCGAGTAGTCAAAAGACAGGAGGAGCTCAGCTTGGTCGGGGGTGGGCGTGGGGGTAGGGGGAAGGAAGAACTGGCTGACTTCTGCAAAGAACCAAAGCTTGAGCGCCAGAGCGAGCCCAGCATGGAAGAGCCCAAACATGACATTCATTATGGAAACTGGCCACTCTTAAAATTGAAAAAAGAGAGGGGTTGGAATACGTGTCTATGCAGGGCAATCTGTAAACAGGTTAACTTCATCTCCACATCAGTCTCAAGAGAAAACTACTACCTTTTCTTTATAGGCTAGATCGGAGGGTTCGTAAATGTTCCAAGGCTGCATGGTTAGGATTTGAACCCATATCTGTCCTAGCATGCTTTGTCTGCTTGCTTGTTTTTGCCTCTATCACCTGCATGGAGATGCTTCTCCCCAGTGCCTAGATTTCCCGAATTCCGCAGCTCTAACACAAGAGGATTCTGACAGGAAGCCGTGGCAAAACACACTGAGGTGGCAATACTTGAGTCCTAGCCAACTCACTGCTAACTCTCTGAGGTCCTGTCGGCACTGTTTCTTCCCATCCAGGTCACTTCTTAGCAGACAAAAAGGAAGAGCAGAGCATGTACTGGGCAGAAGACTGTGCCCACGGCATGTCCACAGGAGGCTTGGAACCGCAGCCACCAAAGTGAGAGGAGAGCATAAAGATGGAGGCTGACGGGAAAAGCTGCCCTGTGGGTTTTCGGTAGTCCTTCTGTATGGGGTGTCTTGTCAAGCATCCGTGTGTGCGTGTGATGCGGTTCTATGCATCTACATGTTTGTGATGCTGAATACCACACAACCTTGTGTGTGGAGGTGAGAACCATGAATGTGTGCATGGGCCAGTACCGTCTCTGTGTGTGTCTGGGGAGAGTACTGTGTATCCATGCGTGTATGGGCGAGCGTGCATCTGTGTGCATCTGTGTGCACCTGTAAAGAGTGTATGCCCCTCCATATGTTCGCCCTTTCACGTGGCTGTCAGACACCCATTTCCTTCAGGGAGAAACTCTTGTCCATCTACCATCTTTGCATCCAAGTGTGAAAGGTCCAACTGTCCACACACATGGAGCTATCAGCTCCAGGATAGCTAAGGTGCATGTGGCACCTTAGCATGAGTCAGCGCCAGATCCCTCACGGACCCAGGTCTGCTCTACTTGGCGAAGCAGTTCTTTTCAGTGACTAAGATCTGAAGAACTCCTCTCTGTGCACGTCATCATCCTCCCCTACTCCTCACCCTCCTGGCTCCCAGCAACCGTGAGACCTAGATCCAATCAGTGCTCAAATGAGTGTCCAAGGCCAGCATTTAGTCTGTGAGCGAAGATGAAGTCCCTGCAGCTCAGCACACTGATATGACGGTGTCAAGGCCAGCATAGAGTGTTCTAGGCACTCACTCCTGTTTCTGGCACGTGTTGGCCTTCTGTGCTGGGTGTGTCCGAAACTTGGACCTGAGAGTGTTCCACTAACCTGTGGCTCTAGCAATGCAGGGGCCAGCAACAACTGTCTAGCTCCTGGCTGTTCAGCTCCTGTAGCCAGCCAGAGGACATGAGCTTTAGGTATACCCTGTTGCCCAGGAAAGGGTCCGCTATAACATTTCTCTGCCCTGAAAGAAATGCAGTCAAGCTATAGGAGGAGAACTAGAGCTTCAAGGCATCCAGGCAGCCATAGAGAGGTGGAGATGTGGGGGAGGAAGGAATACAGCCCTGGGTAGAAACATTAATCTACAGAGAGAGGGCACTAAGAGGCTCGGGCTGCAGCTCACTCGGCAATCTGCTTGCCCCTACACAGAAAATTCCCTGAGTGTGAATTCCAGCAGTGTGAATGGCCACGGTACATAACCTCTAATCCCAGCACTAGGGGATTATGTGGAGGCAGGGGAATCACAAGCTCAAGTTCATTCTCTCACACATAATAAGTCTGAGGTCAACCAGGGCTACATAAGACCTTGTCTTTAAAATGAAAACCAGCCTGGAGTGGTAGGAAAGCCCTTTAATCTCAGCACTTGGAAGGCAGAGGCAGGCAGATGTCTGTGGATGAGGCCATCCTGGTCTATGCAGTTCCAGGTCAGACAGTGCTACATAATGAAACCCTGTAAAAACAATAACAACAACAACCCTAAAAAAGTCTCCAACATAACACAGTATTAACTGTGGACACAATGGCCTGAATGCTCATGGAAGCTTTCTCATGGAAGCTTTCCCATGGCAACTACAGCAATGCTCAGATATGCACAGAGGGACAAAGCAAAAAAGAAACCAGACCACACCTGGTACCACAAAAGGCTGTGGGCTGTGTACTTGGGGGCATGATGATTCTTCAGGATCTGACAGAGAAGGGAGCATTCTCAAATCAGGCTCACGGCAGATGCAATCCTGCAGCTCCAGTTTATGATCAGAGTGGCCCAATCGCCATCACTTCAGCCAGCGTTAACGTTGGCCACCGGCAAATGGAGGGTCAGTGTCATAGAAGGGGTACCTTATCATCAGGGGCGTGTTGTACATCTGGGGCAGGGGCAGGTGCCCAGAAGAAAAGAGAAGCTAGTGTGGGGAAGGCCAGGATACCCTAGACTGAGGTGTATAGGTGTTTGTCCTTCAAGGTTTCCCCAAGAGGCAGCACAGACCAGTACTGTAGAACCTGGAGGTTGGCCTGACTGCTCTTTTGTCATCTCTGGTGGCTCAGCCTTCCGAAAAAAAAAAAAAAAAAAATGAACCTAATATACAAACAATAATAGAATCTGAGCAAATCTCAAAATCCCAACAACTCTGAGGTAGTGTGGATACCCTACCAATGCACGCAATAAAGTCCAAGCCTGTCTACAGACTTTCAAGCTTGTCGACAGGCGCCCATGTGGTTGGGGGCCTAGTTTCTAAAGAGACTATAATATGGATTCCCTACCATGAAAACATGTTTACATAAAAATTTGGGGGAGGAAAAGAAAGTGAAGAGGAATGCCATGCCTAGTGATACACGCCTACAATCCCAGCTACCTAGGAGGCTGAGACAGGAAGAACTTAAGTTCAAAGCCTTCCTAGGCTTCAAAGTCCACCTGGGCAACTCAGAAAGACCTTCGTTCAAGATTAAAAACATTAAAGAGGGCAGGGGGTGAGCGTCGGTGTTTGAAGGCTTGATTAGCACCCCTGGGAAGGCTCAGGCTTTGGTCTCCAGCACAACAACCGACCAAATATATAACAAAATATAAATAAGCTGAAATGCTGACACAACAGGAGCATTAAAACGTTATCTTTGCCGAAAAATAAAAATAAAAAATGAGCCGCATGTAGGTACACATTTGGCATCCCAGCACTTGGGAAATGGAGGCAGGAGAGATCAGGAGTTTGAGAACATTGTCAGCCACATACTGAGTTCAAGTCCAGCCTAAGATGTATAAGACCCTTTCTCAGAAAAGAAAGAAAGAAAGAAAGAAAGAAAGAAAGAAAGAAAGAAAGAAAGAAAGAAAGAAAGAAAGAAAGAAAAACTTTCTTCACTCAGACAGCTGTGGCAGGAGAGCCTGGACTGGGAAGAGAAGTTTGCTCAAAGAAGGGAAGGGGAGAAGATATGCCTGTTCTCTACCTAGCCCCGTGTCAGAGTCACAACTTGGTCTTGACGAAGCTGAACTCAAAGTTTGAAGAGAATGACCTCAGCCTCTGTCAGCCACGTGTTACGTGCAAGACCAGCTGCTGCTGACGGCACACGCGTGGCCATCTGGGCTGCACAGCACAGACCAAAGTGGCGAGGGTAAGTGTTGTAAATAGTTCTCCTATTATTTCAGGATGCCTCTGGGCTGACGCTCTCGGTGCTGACAGTCACACGTGCGGGAGTGAGGAAGTCATCATTTCAATCACGAACTGAGGTCGCACGAGCCTATGACAGTCCCCTCACTTAGAATGCTCCCCCCGAGTGGCCGCTGTGCCACTGAGCAGACGCTCACTGAGCCTCTGCTGTGTGTCCCTGGTGTGCAGGCTGTGTTCCTGAGGATCCAGAGAGGAACCGCAGTGGACTCCAGTCTCCAGGGTCTTGCTGTGAGAGACAAACTCTTGAAATAAAGGTTGATTGATACCTTGAAGGTCTCAAGGTAGAGACCTTCTCCAGGTCACAGCAGGCAGCAAGACATTGCTGCAAGGTCACACTGGTGACCAAATACAGCATGGGCATGGATTTTCCCTTCAACAGACTGCTGGAGATGTGGTTCCTGACAAGCAGGCCTGTGTGCTTATCTCCATGTGGACAGGTGACACCATAAGATTCCTGATGTCTCTGTCCTATGCGATAATGTCCCTAGTTTTACAAGGAAATGCTCTTCTTACGTCACATGTGCTGGACTGTGTAGAGGGGAAAATGACATAAACAATGGCATCAGAAATCAGCTTTAAAATACTTTAGAAGGAAAAATCCCAAAGGGCCAGCAAGACAGCTCAGCAGGTACAGGTGCTTGCTGCCAAGTCGGATGGCCTGAGTTCAATCTCAAGGACCACATCCTGGTGGAAGGAGAGAATCGACTTGCCCCAAATTGTCCTCTGACCTCTGCACAGGGACTGCAGCACATACTCCCACATGTGGACACGCACACAGAAACAAATAAATGGCAGCTTCAAACAAAAAAGAACTGAGAGGAAAGGAAAAGAGAAAGCCGTAGAGTTAGCCTAATGCGGCATCACTTGAATCTCTGGGGAAGCCGAGGAAGGTGCAAGCAGGGCTCATTACACTATCCTCTTCTTCTGAAAAAAATAAAAGCATAAATGCTTGGCTGTTTGATTGGTTTGCTTGTTTGTTGCTTTGGCTTTGGGGGGTGGGGTTCGAGGCAGGATCTCTCTTACAGCACTGGCTGTCCTGGAAGTTGCTCTGTAGACCAGGCTGGTCAACCTCTCAAGTTCTGGAGTGTGTGCCACCACCAGCCAGCTGGTTCTGGTTTTAAGTTTTGCTTTTGGGGCCAGTCATGGCTGACCTAGAACTCATTATATAGACCAGAATGGCCTCAATTTTTGAGCAATCCCCCTGCTCCTGCCTCCCTAGGGCTGGGATTGCCTTGTACCCAGTGCTCTTTGTTGTTATTGTTGACACAAGGTCTTGCTGTGTAGCTCAGGCTATCTTCAGATTCACTCTATACCCCATGCCGGCCTCGAACCCTGGATTCTCTGCCTTCCTTGTAGTAGTTTTTAATGGGCGACTGCTTTGTACAGTGGTTGAAGGCCCAGTGAGACTGCTGTAAAAGGCTAAGGGACAGAGCTTAGGCAGAGAGCTAGGAGGATTGTGAAAGACATGTCCTCACGTGGGGTTCAGGTGCTGTTTCATAGTGGGGTAAGAAGACTCACTCTCCCATCATTAGGGAACTGGTCAGTCCAGAACAGGGGCTGTCTGTACTGAGCCCCTGGAGACCAAGGGCACCCAAGAGTTTAATCCCCTTTCCCCAATAGCTGGAAGCTGGAATCATCACAAGACTCCAGCAGTTTGCATCTCAGTTCTCTCATCTGTAAAATGGGCATAGCCCCAACTACTACAGAGGGCTGACGTGGGATGCTCATGGAGTGAAGAACAAGAAGTCCCAGAATGCAGCATCCTCTTCCAGGATCCTTAGAGGACAAGGACTGTCAGCACTCCGCAGATTCAGTTTAGCGGGGTTCAGCCCCCTCCAGCCCAGCCAAGAAAGGCAGAGACCTTTCGGCAGTGGAGAGTGAGCCCAGTCAGGCCGCCAGCTGGAGGGCAAACCAGTAGAGATGTGGACCCAGTGGAGAGACCTGAGACACACCTCCCCACACACACACCCTTTCCTGGCATCACAGGAGGAAAAGATTGGTGCTGCTCTCTGCAGCTCCTAGGAATGGGGCTGTGGGTTTCAGTCACCCAGCAAACAAAGAAGCATATACCAAAGCCTGCCCCACCCCCACCGCAGAAAGACCTAGCCTGGAGTTCCTAAGGGTCAAAGTTATTTCAATGGATACAGTTCTAAAGTACTGGAAAAGCCAGGGGACAGAGGTAAGGCCAAATGCAGGAGGCTTTCCCCTGAAGCAGCTATCATAGTGAACAACACCCGAGCCCCTCCGTGGGACCACACAGAGAGAGACAGGTGCATCCCGCTGTTGGTTCAAGGGCTTTGTGCTTTGCAAACTCCTGTGACTCCCAGAATCTCTCAAAGGCCAGAGGCTCCAGACATGCCCACAGAGCTCCTTCCCACAGCCACTGGGCAAACTGGTAGGAAGCAGGCACAGAGCCAGGACCACTTTCCCGGTCCCTAAAACACAGAGGACACAACTCAAGCTTTCTGGAGAGTAACCAGTGGGGCCCGACTTGTGCCGTTTCTCTGCACCTGAAGAATGCAGCACTGATTGCCTCTGAAATCCCTGGGACATGAACAGGAGCTGTCCTGGGGGCCCACTGTTAGGTCCACTGCCCCCGCGGAGGTGGCGGCCACACAGAAGACACAGGTGCCAGAGAACTCGGAGAGGCGAATGCGGAAGGCCAGTTAGTTTCTGGCTCTTTCCCCTCCGGACCTGTCATTGAGGGTACTGTCTACTGACTTCATTCTCCCACTTAAGGCATAGTGGGCAGCAAGAGGCCTTGCAAACGAGAGCTCTTTCCGCTTTAGAAACCCAGGCCCAGAATAAACAATGTGGAAGGAGACACGAGAGTACTCTGGTTTCAACACGCCTCTTCCCGGTCCAGCACAGGCCCTTCCCAGGTCTGCCGGTGAGGGTGAGGCTGAGACTGGGGCTGGCCTGGGATTAAGTTAACCCCGCCCTCTCCAGACAGCTGCAAGGCCAGGGGCTGCAAGGGAGACCCCAGCCCAGGGCCAGCCAGCCAGCGCCAGGCAAGGGCGCCAGGGTGGGGTGTTCCTAGGCAGGGACGAAGACAGGCTGCCAGGGGTCAGGGGTCACAGGATACAAAGGGGACAGGAGCGCGACACCTCGGAGCGTCGCCAAGGGCCAAGCAGCCAGCCCGGGTCCCAGCCCGGGTCCCAGCCCGCCGCCGCCGGCCAGGCCACTGACATTTGTCCCAACTTAACTTCCTGTTATCCAGGAGGGAGGAGAAGAAGGGAGGCAGAAAAAGGTAATGATAAAATAAAAATAAACAAGAGGCTCAGTGAGAGGATGGGAAAGGTACGGGAGCCCCGATCGCGTGGAACAAAGTTTGGGAACGTTCCCCTGAGCGATGACAGGCGACCTTGCTGCCGAAGGGCGCCCACTCTGCGCTGGTGTGTTGGGTTTTCTGGATCTAGAATGGCAGTTTTGATTGGTGGAGAGCCCACGGCGCGCCCCGCAGGTGGGTCTGAGACCGCGGCCGCAGCGGCGGCACCTGACCCTCCGGGGCATCCGGCTGGGCGCAGAGTCCAGCCGGGACTGGCATAGTCCCCACCCACCCCCGCTCACCCTGGAGCCCACTCCCACTCCGCCTTACCGAAGGTCTCGTCGGCCTCCGGGTCTCAGGTCGGCGCCTGCCTTGGCCTCTGGCTGAGGGCGCGGAGATCCGGGGCTCCGCGGGCCGCCTGCCGAGCCCGAAGCGAGCGAGGCGGCCCCGCGCAGGCTGAGCGGGCCGAGTGCCTGCGCTTCTGCGAGCTGCGGAGGACCCGGTTGGGGCACGCCCCATCTGAGGCTCGCCAATAACAAGGCCTCCGAGGGCGAGGCTCCGCCCCGAGCCTGAGACGCACGGCCAATGGTCATGCGGCGCGGAACCCACCCTAGGGCCCTCCCAGTCGGTACCGGGCTAGGGACCGCTGTCACCACTGCAGTCTGAAGACGCACGTGGGCTGAAGCCCTGCCCAGTCGCGGGAGCAGGCTGCCGCCCCTACCCTGGCCACGGGTCGAAGACCCAGCTCTGCGAGGTGAACTCCCGACCTTGGTGTTCTGCTGTCAAGGGAAAGGGGAGGGCAGGGCCTCGCGGTGCTGGGCCTAGGCAGCTGGAAAGCCAGCCTCGCTGTCTGCTTTTGGAGGGAGCAGCGAATGACTCCTAGGGCTGCCTGGCCCTCTTGGGCCCTCATGCCCTGCTTTGCGGCATGCAGTCTTCCTTGCTTGGGCCCTCCGTTGAACTGGCCTTGCTCTAGCTAAAGCTGTGGGAAAGTGGGTGGTGACCCAGACCAACCGCATTAATCTGGGTTCCTCGCTTTTGTCTCTTGGATGTCGGGTGGCTAACCTCTGTTCTGCGCGCTTCCCCGAGTGGCCATGCCTCTAACAATTACAGAGAAAATTATGAATGAATGGGTCGGGGCTGGGAGTTCTGAGAAGTTAGTGCAGACTCTGGGATGGCAGAGACCAGGAAAGTGGGATTCAAGTGGGCAAGCGCTAGGGCTGACTCAGCCCCGAGGCCCAGAGTCCATCACCCAGCTTGGCCCAATGCAGCGTCCATAAATGTTCTTGGAACTGAGCTGATCCAGGGGGAGGAAAGCAGGCAGGCTTGGGCGGCGAAGGCAAACAGTGCCATGACTCCAGGGTGCTGGAATCCCCCGGGTACCACCCTCTGGAGAGCCATGCTCCTTGGCCAGGCAAGTGCAGGCAGCAATATCCCCACCCCCAAACCTGGGGCTCATTTTTTTCTATAATCTTTGATGTGTGTTCCTCCTTCCAGCCCTTGGGGTTTCTCTTTCAGCATCCTCAGAATCCAATTCAGTTATCCACAGCACCCGACCCCACAACTCACTGGTCTCTGACTCTAAGAGGGATGGCACTCTACTCTGATGGGACTCCAACCATGATGCCATCAGTCAATGGGCACCTTCCATGTATCATCTCAATTAAATGCAGACCTAAATATAGACCTTTTTAATATCATCCTCTTTCACAGATGGCAAGACTGAGACCTGTAATGAAAAGTCATTTACCAAGATCATGTGCATATTAATATGTGTCTGGATCTGAACCCAGACCTGACTCCGAATCAACATACACAACCCCATGTGGGGCCTCCGTAGCCATTCCTGGACCTCTGGTGACCCTGGACAGGAAAGATCTGTCTCTAAAAGAACTGCCAATTGATTGGAGCATTCTGTAGACTCCCGTCTGGCTGCTGTCAGAGAGAGGAGACCTGAATGACCTGGCTCCGCCTTTTATGTAATGTAATAGAGGAAAATGCATGACCTCTATCCACAGCTTGACCTCAGTGGACAAGGCTCATAGCTACTTGCCTGAGCCCAGGCCAGGCAAGGTGGAGAGAAAGATAGAGGACAGTCATTCATCTAACCAACTAAGTAGATGTGGTTCTTGTGTCCCCATCACTCCATAGCGAGTGACTGATCAGACATAGGTGATGGTATGGGAGGAATATTCTGTATTATTCTTTTTTCAGCTTCATGGTCTTACACTATCACAACATTCTGCCTTCAGATGAAAACAAACCTGACACTTTCAGGAACACTGTGAGCCAACTAAGTCTAACAGCAATAGCAGTGCCTAGCACAGAAGCTCTTGGGACAAGATTCCAGTGTGTATTCTAGGCTGGTCTGGATCACAGTGTATCCTGGGATGATCTTGAACTCACAGCTGTCTTGTCACAGCCTCCCAAATGTGGGATGACATGCAGGTATCATATGCTGGGCCAGCACAGAAGCCCTGACCAAACAAAAATAAGAATTGACGAGTACTTCCTGGCATCCCTTGTGCCTCTCTTCTGCTGCACCCCAAGCCTTTATCTCATGGAGCTTTGTTGAGAAAGAGTCTTGCTAGGTAGGTGTGGTGGACTGAATTTTAACTCGGAAATAGGATCAGCTGGGCATTGATGGGGCTGGCTGAGGAGAGGAGTTAGCTAAGTCTTGTGGCTTTTGGAGCCAGAGACACTTATCATCTTTCAGACTTCCATTGCTGAACCGCTCCCTGGGGATGAGAGATGAGTGAGAGACTGGGAGGTGTCAAAACTCAAAACTCAGAACAGTCCCTAGAAGGTGGCCTACTGCATTGGAGCGATATATAACTGTGCTTCAAAGAAAGCGTTATTCCGTGTTAGGGAGAAATGGTATCTAGCTCCTGTCTTAACTGAATGAATGAATGAGTGAGTGAATGAATGAGTGAGTGAATAATGAAGCAGCCCCACACTCTGTATTTAACAGCAGTCACTTCCCCACCTTGCTTTTCTAGGATGGAGCTTGGGGAGGTTGCCCGGGAGATACAGATGGCTTTAGCATCAGAGAGAGGGAGAGAAAGAAGACCCAGATTCAGCCCTAAAAATATCCTCGTCTCCAACAGAAACAGTAGCCTCCACAGCTCCAAAGCAGCCCCAGCTGGTGGTCCTGCCATGATCAGCATCCACCTGACACCTTCCAAAGGAGCTGCCGAGATACCAGGCGTGCCTCTTCTACTTCCAGCCTCCCAGTGTGCTAGAAACAAGGTTGCCGTGGAGCCTGAAGGGTTTTCCCCAGGGCCTTTTCCATGGAGGCTGCTCCGGGGCCTTCCCCTTGCTTTCCCAGCAGGGATGACACTGTGCTCGAGTGTGTGGTTCCCAGGCTTTCTCTAGAGCTGCTATCAAAGCGCCTTGGTGTTCAGAGGAAGAGGCAGGCTCCACAGAGCCCAACGACCTTGTCAAGTGATGAAAAGAGGCTGATGGGCCCCAGGCTGCTTTGACAGCCAGCTATCTTCGGAGGACTTTCTAAGCCAGGGAGTGGAAGCCGTGGTGCCTCCCTTGGGCATACCTCGCAGTGTGTGAGAAACAAGATCACAGCAGCTTGTTCTAGCCCCTTATCATCCTGCAGGCTGCAGGCGGCACCATTGTTCCTAGATAGAAGTGCATGAATTCAAGGCCGCCAGGAACCTATCAGGCCCACCACAGATTCAAGGAGATTTTTCGGACAATGTGGGGAAGAAATGGAACCTGGATAGGGGTGCACTTTGGGGGAATGTATGCACATGGCTGGGAATGTGAAAAAGCCAGTGCCGGGGTAGCCGAGGGGTGCTGCTATAGGCAGAAAGTGGCACTCCGAGTAGGGGTGCCGACTGCAGCAAACAGATGCAGCATGGGTGTGTGAGGAGCCTGAAGGACATGGGGCCTCACACATAGTCCAGCCTCCGCCCCAAATAGAATGAAGATAGATAGCAACGTGTTCTTTCTTTCTTTGTTTATCTTGGGCTTTTTGTGAATTCTTTTCTTGTTTGTTTGTTTCCATTTGTTTGCTGATTGAGACAGGCTCTCCTGTAGTCCAGGCTGGCCTCAAACTGACTATGTACCCAGGGAAGACTGGATCCTCCTGCCTCCACCTCTCAAGAGCCATGAGTACAGGCATGCACTGTCATGGCTGACGTCAACACCGATCATCAAAGCCAAGTGTAGACTCCAAGGGCATCATTATGGTTCTGAGAGACACGAGAAATGAAACAATTTCTCTAAACTCTGAGGACGCTCAGGGCTGCGGTTGCTAAAACACACCTGATGCCCATTCCAGAATACACTGCTGTAGCTGAACGGAGCCTGCAGACAGCTCTCGACCATGCTCCCTGGCCCTCCACACGGCAGCTTAAATGGGCCAAGGAAAAGAACTATCTTCTTCATTCTGGTCCACCAAGGAGATTTACCTTCATCTCTCTGTCTACCCATCCCATATCCATCCTGCAGCATATATGGCATGCTTCTCTGAGCCATGGCCAAGCAGGTTCCAAGTCAAGGTGCCTGGAATGAATCCCAATTCTAATAGTGTGCCCCAAACAAGAAATGTAGCTTCTCTGGGTAACAGATACCTCCCCTACAAAAGGGCAATAGTGCCAGGGAGATCCAGGCATAGAAGAGAGGTAAGTGATGGATGCGGCTCCTTTGAGTTAATCAATTGTCTCTAAGAGGGACAGATTTGGTAAGCAATTCTAGGTCAGCAACCTGGTCGTTTTCCCAGCATCATACCTGGTGTGTGTTATAGTTCTCAGCTTACTTTGAGGTAAGTACCATTATCATCCACATTCGGGAGGTAAGACAATGGCATCTGGGAGAAGTGGGTGTCATTCTATACTGGCTAGAACTGTGTCTCCCAGATTGGCTCCAGACTTGTGGCAATCTTCCTGCCTCCTCCTTCCCAGAGCTGGGATTACAGGCGTGAGTCACCAGGCCCGTACCATTCCTGATTTTCTTTGCTTCCCAGCTGCCATGAAGTGAAGAGGCCCTTGTGTGGTGTGCTCCCACCATGATGCTGTAGTGTGTGGCTAGGGACCCAGAGCAACAAAGCAAGCAGCTCTGGGCTGGAACCATGAGCCCAAACAAACCTTCCTCCCTCGCAAGTACATTGCCTCGGGTGTTTCCTCACGGCCACGGAAAGCTGTCTGTCACACAGCTCATCTGAGCTCCCAAAATCAAACCTCCTGAGAGGAGTCACAGTGGAGCATTCACCCTGGGCACCCCAGTCACCCACAGTAAGCGCGCATTACCTGAACAGTAACCAGCCTGTGACTGTATGTCTGGTGGAGGACTAAATGAGGAAACCGCTTCTTACCATGGCCTCCACGGTTGTGTGGCCCACTCACTGCCCTCAAACACCAGTTTTCTGAAAGCAACGAGCATAAAAACAAACAAACAAAGAAGGCTAAAGCTCAACGGTAGCGTTTGTCTAGCATGCATAAAGCCCTTGGGTCAATCCCCGGAACCGGAAGTAAACCACTGAGTC